CGTGGAATTGTGAAATCATTGACTGACTGAACTCTGAATAAACTGATAATCTAGAACTTGAACGTCACGCATCTTGACTATAGTCCTCGAGATAATCTAGAACCTTTACAGCTGACTTAGTGATCAACCACGTAAGCGAAAAGTAAAGTAAAGTCCCCGAGAAAATCGAGACTGAAATGCTAGTGAATTGCTTGAATGGTTTTCAAAAGTCTTTTTAGGCCTAGAAGTAGAAATATGTCTGTACAATACAACTTCGACGGTTAAGACTCGGTACACAAGCTTCCAGTAAACAAACAAACAACCCGAACAACACACCCACAAAACAAGATAAGCGTGTGTTACAATCGAAACCACGACGCAATTTACTACTGGGTATCATTCATATTATTTACAAGCCAACGTTTTTTTTTAGCTTTTATCCTTATTTCTAAAATGGCTAATGTTTTATTTCTTTAAACTTAATAAAAGTTTATCACAGTTTTACCTTAAGCACACCCATAAATAAACTTATTATAGAACTATAAATATATTCGAATATGACTGGCTTTTGGCTGTGAACGTTAGTGACTAGCTAGTACATCTAGCCAGATTAAAACACCTTGTTTTACATGTTCAAATTTTACAGATATCATTTTACAAATTAAACTTCATCCTAAGCCTGGGTGCAAAGATTCACTGAGTATCATTCATATTATTCAAAAGCCAACGTTTTTTAGCTTTTATCCTTATTGTCTAAAATGGCTATTATTTCGTTTCTTTAAACTTAATAAAAGTTTATCACAGTTTTGCCTTAAGCAGTTTTTTCCCCAGATATTGTTACTGTTTTACCAATGTGCAGATGGCCAAAGATATTCATCAATATAAATTTTTGTATTGTAGTTTTGGGAGGTGATCTCTGACGAGCACGGAATAGACCCATCAGGGACGTACCACGGTGACTCTGATTTGCAGCTCGAGAGAATAAACGTGTATTACAACGAAGCTACTGGTAAGCTATTGTTGTACGACAAGGTTGGGGCAGAAACTATACCACAAACTATAGCCTCAAACTAGCGCGGTTACTTGAAAAAGCGCTTGAGAAGGGGTTTATCACTGAATTCTCACTGAATTCTTGATTTAGAWTTCCACAAAAATAAAAACTTCTTGGAATTAAAGATGTGAACTTATTTCTTGTTTACGAGAACTAGAATAATTCAATAATATCCTTTTGAACTCATCTTCAAAACCCTCCTCTTAAAATTTGCGCGCCTAAAATGTCTGGGCCCGGTTGTACGGGGAGTAGATAGCGCAGTAGAACGGAGAATTCAAAACTGGTTAGAAGTTAGAAGAAACGCACTTATGATTTATTTCCCTAAAGAACTGAACGCTTCAAGAACAGTTTCATACCGAAATGTGTTCAAATCTGGGATTAAAAAATGAATTTCAGAACTTTTGTAGTCCTGTTTTAGTATTGTTATAATCATTATATGTAAAGTCACATTTTTCAAACCAGAAAGGGTTTGTCAGTTGGTTAATATTTCAATAAAGTTATTATTATTTTATTATTTTTATAGCGTTCTTCTGACTACTGGTATACTGTGGCTGTATTCATGCTTGTGCTAAATAACTCTTTTTATTCATATCAGGCGGTAAATATGTACCAAGAGCTGTCCTGGTCGATCTGGAACCAGGCACCATGGACTCTGTTCGTTCTGGACCATTCGGACAAATCTTCAGACCTGATAACTTCGTTTTTGGTGAGTATTTCTTTGTTAAAGAATGTATATATTCCACACAAAAACTTCAAATGAGCAAAAGTAATTATTGTATAGACTTTATTCTTCACTTGACTCTGAAGATGACTTCCGCTCAGGTTGTCGAAACGTTAGTCACATCAAACAGTCCTTCTCAGGACTATATCCACCCGGATGATCATAATACTTCGATTAACGAAAGTAAATATATTCACGCGCTTTTCACTAGCTTATGGCTTCGACAACCGACGCTGCACAGCCCCGGTTTGATAAGTAATATTTCAAAGCCGACAGTGAGAACTGGACGGGATTTCAAGTCAAAGCAAATAGTTCCAGTGCGAGGCGCACCCGAGGAGTTGAACTAATTGCGTGGACTTGAAATCACGTCCAGTCCGATATTGGAGGCTTTAAAATGACTTCTCATGCTCATTGATTATTCGACTTGGAGTAACTGGAACAAAATTAATTCAGTCCTAGTACTGAATTAATTTTGTGTTCCAGTTACTAGAGAATGAATTCATTCCTTTCACATGACTTAACCAGGTTTCTAGTAACATCATGTGACTCAAAAATAGCCCATTGATTGGCTGGTTTCCTCATGAATTATTAATGAGCATGAGAATACACCTTCAAACCTTTAATAGACCCCTTGCATGTGACGTCAAAGCAGCTCAATTTGGAGGCCAAAACGAAAGAATTTCATTTTCATGAGAATTGCAAACCTATTGTTTTGTCCTCCAAATTGAGGTGCATTCCAAAGTGCTACAAAGGGATCTATACCATCGATACCAGCATGCAAGCTCAAAGGGAAGCACGGCTGTCGTAGGGGTGAGAGCGTCTGACTCCCACCAATGCGACCCGGGCTCGAGTCCCGCCGTGCTCGATGTCGTATGTAAGTAGAGTTGCTTGTTGGTTCTCTCCTGTGTAGTATGTGAGTAGAGTTGTTTGTTGCTTCTCTCCTGTGCTTCGAGGTCTTACCGGGTTCCCCGTTTTTCCTCCCTCCATAAAAATCAACCAGTCTAAATTCCAATTAAAATCCAGAGGAATTATGATTTTTTACAAAGGTTATTTACATTTTCAATTTTGCAGGTCAAAGTGGAGCTGGCAATAACTGGGCCAAGGGACATTATACAGAAGGTGCTGAGCTTGTTGACTCCGTACTCGATGTCGTTCGAAAAGAAGCCGAGAGCTGCGACTGCGTACAAGGCTTTCAGCTCACACATTCCCTTGGGGGAGGTACTGGGTCAGGAATGGGCACACTTCTCATCTCGAAGATCCGCGAGGAGTACCCCGACAGAATTATGAACACATTTAGCGTGGTCCCATCCCCAAAGGTGTCGGACACAGTCGTCGAGCCGTACAACGCTACTTTATCGGTACATCAATTGGTGGAGAATACTGACGAAACCTACTGTATTGATAACGAGGCTCTATATGACATCTGCTTTAGGACCCTCAAACTGACCACACCCACTTACGGAGACTTGAATCACTTGGTGTCTGCTACTATGAGTGGTGTAACAACCTGCTTGAGATTCCCTGGCCAGGTAGACTTCTACAATAACTTGTATTCACTAGTCTTTAACCCAACAGAGATTGCGCTTTGGCTCATGCTCATTTGCATCAAATTGCTGGCTTTCAATCAGCTGATAAAAGTCTTCGAAATTTTGTCCTCCAAATGGTGCTTAAGTTATTAGAGACCTTTAGCACTAAGTTCTTGTTCGTTTCGCAAACCTCAATCTGCAGTTCGACGTCAGGCGTTTTCCGTCAAGCTTCCAACATTTAGCAAGGCGTCATAACGAAGTTGTTGATGGAAGAGCCGCCATATTGAATTTCATCGATGCCGATTGTTTCTCCGTGTTTGCAGGCGTGTTTCTGGGCCTGATCTCTAGCGGTTAGCGGTAAACCTGATTCTAAATGTCTCTATTAATTCCACAAAACCTGAAAAGAATCTTCAGAATAAAAAAAGAAAAACTAGTCCGAATGTCACGAGTGCCTAAATTTAATTTTTTTAAATTTCTTTTAGCTCAACGCTGATCTCCGAAAGTTAGCTGTCAACATGGTACCATTCCCACGTCTTCACTTCTTCATGCCTGGCTTTGCTCCATTGACCAGCCGTGGATCCCAGCAGTACCGTGCCCTTACCGTCCCAGAACTGACACAACAGATGTTTGATGCCAAGAACATGATGGCTGCATGTGATCCAAGACATGGTCTTTACCTGACGGTTGCTGCCATGTTCCGTGGCCGCATGTCCATGAAGGAGGTTGACGAACAGATGTTGAACGTACAGAACAAGAACAGCTCATACTTTGTTGAATGGATCCCCAACAATGTCAAGACTGCAGTCTGTGACATCCCACCAAGAGGACTCAAGATGTCAGGCACGTTTGTTGGCAACAGCACCGCCATCCAAGAACTCTTCAAGAGAATCAGCGAGCAGTTTACGGCTATGTTCAGGAGAAAGGCTTTCCTTCATTGGTATACTGGTGAGGGTATGGATGAGATGGAGTTCACTGAGGTGAGTCAGAGATGTTTTTATCTAATCGTCTTTCCTCGGTGTCAAAAAGATGGAGATTTTCTTATCCAACATCAACCTTTGGTAGTTCATGTGGAGTGATCGGGAACCTCACGAAGAGCACCTTACCATGGGGGAGGGGGTGGGTTAGTTACGAACACACGGTGCAACATTGCGGCCAATGTTGTGAATTGCAGGCAATTGATGTTGCGAGCGATGTCACACGACGCAATGGACTACTTTGACGATATGGCAGACATCTTGAATCAAAACGCATTATGGGGCGTCCGTGGGGCAAATAAAGCTTTGTTGCAGTAATGATGTCAATTGATAACAAGAGATTAATTAAGATAGCGCATCGATCACCTTTAACAATTATAAAAGAAAGACAAATACTAGAAACTCTATTTCATAGTTTTTCATCATCTTAGTTTTTTTGGCAACATGGCCGCCGTATCGTCAAAGTAGTACATTCATTGCACGCAATGTTGAAGAAATAAAAAACGTGCGCGCGTGCTGTGTGCAGTTATAAAGCACGCGGGGATTGGCAGAACACGAGAGAAGTGTTAGGTGAAGCACGACGCGGAGTGTTTCTCGACACTTCTCGAGTGTTCTGCCAATCCCCAAGTGCTTTATAACTCCACACAGCACAGCAAGCAAGCTTTTTATTTCTTTTATAAAATGCAAAGGGTGCGTGCGTGCTGTGTGCTCTCATAAAGCACGCGCTCCCAACCAATCAGAATGCGAGATTTATAACAGTTATTTTATAATTAATGCTGATTATAAATGTAGTAAACTTTTCTACACTTCATCAACATTGTCTGCAATATTGCGCGCGGCAATGTTGCACTGTGCCTTTACAAAATAACTTTATTAACGATTATAACTCATTCTTTTCCAGGCTGAATCCAACATGAACGACTTGGTCTCAGAATACCAACAATACCAAGACGCTACAGCAGAAGAAGAAGGAGAATTCGACGAGGAAGAGGAAGGAGAAGAAGAAGCAGCATAAGTCTAATATTAATTTTCCACACCGCGCGCACGCAGCATTCAAATGAACCATTTTTATTGAGTGAAAGGCTGATTTTATATCATGTGTAAAGAGAAATATAATTTTGAATTTTCTTTTCTTAGAAGCAGCATAAGTTAATATTAATTCTCCACACCGCGCGCACGCAGCATTCACATGAACCATTTTTATTGAGTGTAAGGCTTATTTTATATCATGTGCAAAAAGAAATATGATTTTGAATTTTTTTAATGTACAACAATTCTCAAAACATTCTGATATCTAACTTTATTATGTAATGATTGGAGTTTCAGGATTTTATCCAATAAACTAGTTTCTAGTATCTGTTTGCTCAAAGTTAGCCTCTACTTTGTGCAGAATATTCATGTGTTCCATTGAAGGTCTGTGGGGTTTCAAAGTGCTTGTATTGTTGAAATTGTGCATTCTTTACTTTAACGTTGGTATTTATGAATATTTAGACTTTGATTCGAGGTTAACCCTGAGTAACTGAGTCTATAATCAAGGAACACAGCGGTAATTTTTATTTCGAAAATGGCCTATTAACCATATATGCATGCGCAAAGAACCGAACCCTGGGTACCTATTATAATATATTAATAACCAAATAATAATTATCTGTATGTAACCGGCGGCAAGGCGCTCAGCTATGAATCAGATTGCAAGTGGTTTTGACAAAAGAATTTATTGAAAAATTCACACAACTTTACAATACA